TTCAACGTGCTCCTCATTCCCATCCTTTACATCCGGCCTGAGAGGATTCAGAAACTTCTTCTGGCTTTCAACATCATCTCCTCAATAACACTCATATCCATCATGATTTGGGCTCTGGCAACAGCCGGCGAAGCAGGGTCTCTAGTCCGCCAAGGGTCAAAGCAAATGTCCTCAAGCGAACTCGGCTGGCAAATCGTCCATGGCATCACTACCGTTATCGGTAGTATTGCTGTCGGATTGACCAACCAGCCGGATTACTGTCGTTTTGCTCGGAAGCCCGGAGACCAAGTTTTCGGACAATGGTTCAGCATCATCTTCTTTGGAGCCATCTTCCCTACCTTTGGCTGCTTGGCAGCTTCGGCAACTGGCGTCATCTACGGCGAGCCGATCTGGAACCCGCCCTTGATCGTCCAAGCATGGCTAGATTCGAACTACAACGCCAAAAGCCGCGCAGGTGCCTTTTTCGCTGGGCTTGGTCTCCTCTGTATCCAACTGAGTATCAACTCTGTTGATAATGCTTTCTCCGCTGGCATGGATCTGTCTGGTCTGTTCTGTCGGTACATCAACATCAGACGCGGCGCTTACATCGGTCTCGTGCTGAGTATTGCGCTCTGCCCATGGGAACTCTTGTCATCGGCGGCGGTCTTCATCAGCGTTCTCTCCGCTTACAGCGTCTTTCTTGGTCCCATCATCGGCATCCAAATCTGCGACTACTTCATCATCCGCAAACGCAGAATCAAGCTGTCAGACCTCTACCACCCTCGTCCAGATGGCTCTTTCTACTACTGCAAGGGGTTCAACCCTAGAACCTTCATCGCCTGGGTGTGCGGCTTTGCGACACAGCTCCCAGGTTTTGCTGCTAGCGTTACACCTGATAGCGTCAAAGTTGCTGAGGGCTGGATCAATCTTTACTACCTAGCGTTTCCACTGGGTTTCGCCATATCGTTCTTGTTACATCTGGGCATCAACACCATCTGGCCCCCTCCTGAAGCCGGTGTTATTGATGAGGTGGACTACTATGCGACTTTCACTGATGACGAAGCAAGGAAGCTGGGAGTCTTGCCGCTTGATACCGAAGTTATCGAGGGCTCGCATAAGGGTGTTGAGGGGCACGACTCTGAGAAGGGGCCTCGAACATGGTTGAAGTCTATGCTGGGTTAGTTGAGATGTGCTGGGTACTTTAATGCCCTACAATACTTAGATAGCTTGCTCAAAAGGAAGTGGAAATGCGTCTTATAGCGTGTTATTATCGTCTTCATGCAGCAGACATCAAGATCGCCACCCTTCATCGCGTGATATCGTATCTTCATAGCTTCATACTTACATCATTAGATACTATGTAATACCTTCCAGTCTATCATTCCATGTTCATCGAATAAGCAGCCGATTTTCGTCCAGACCCTGAGCTGTGTCGGCATTGCCGTATTTGTCGGATACTCAAAGGTAGAAGTAACAGAATGGTCCTGACAAGGTGTCCATCACATCTGCAATCTTGATTGAGGGACCCGTGTATCCCATATCAATAAAATCCGTGAGTTGAGTTTTCGCGGATGGCGGGCTGTTGGCCCAGGTAACGTGACCGTAATCACCTCCGTTCAATTCCTGTTGACGTGCGGCAGGATCCAGCGCTTGCCTTAGAGCCAGATATTAGAAGAGTCCATTGGATACGATGATTTACCCGAATGGAAGACTTACCAAAAAGTCCACATGCGGTCCATCATACCGTGATGAACCCAGAATGCAGGGTCGCCAGGGGACGTGAAAAGGTCCGCGCCTGGATCACCGGAGATGGCATAGTGCATTCCTCCATGAGGTCCAATCTCAGGGGTGTAAGGAACTCCCTCGCTCAAAAGCCTATATTCCGAGATGTTGGGCTTGAGCAACAAGTCTGAGGGTCCATCAGCATCGGTCATCACTTGATAGGCGCTGGCAGAGGTACTCACTCAACACCGTTGTGTAGTTCGCGTATCTTTGGTTCATAGCCGGGCCCACGTCGCGCTTCAAACCGCGAGGGTTGTAGCCTAGGCCACCGTCCGGCCCGGGCGCCGTGCCCTCAAGGCCACCGACCGGGCCAAGATTGACAGACATGTTTGCAAAAGGCCCAGTAGTCACGAAACCTCCGCCGACACCAGCAGGCAGCTGGATGCTTGAGCCGCCAATTCCCACGGGAGGCTCAATGACAGGCCCATCATGGGGGATGTACTCGCCGTTTCCGCCGAGACTGTAAGGGTCCCCGTTGAAGATAGGGGATAATTCAGGCGCAGAAGCGTACTTAGGCCAGTCCCAGTACTGATATCTCACAATGAGCGAAAGGAAATCAACCGTCAAGATTTGGTCTAAACTCACAGGTTGATAGCCGGTGTAGCCACATTCCTCGCGCAAAGCCTTCTCGTAGAGATGCACGAACCAGCGATGCCATGGCATAAAGTTACCCGTGTAGTGGATCGTCATGGTCTGCTGAATATGGGTCACGACAAAGTCATCAAACTGTGTAGCGAGTCAGTCGAGTCCGGGTTACCGCGCAAAAAAGTTCGGACAAAGCCGTGGGATGATATTACATACCCGAGATCGAGCACCAGAGGAGACATTAGCCGGCGTTCGTGGCGGCAGACTTTGAAGACACTTGACGGCGTTCACATAAGAAAGCCTCTCGGTCAATGAAAGCGAGCCACTATTTGCTTGTCAGTCATCGGCTATGATTTTGAGCCCAAGTTCCAGCACTTACTACTCCCGACGGAAGACCATGTTGCTTGTCGTGCAGTTGGCTGATTCACCGCGCTTCTTCAACCTGGCCTCCCGCTCATCTAGTGACTTGAACACATTGGCTTGGATGCTGGCAGTGAGATCGGCAAACTGAGCCCCGTCTGTGGTTGAGTCGCCCCGTGGCTTGACCGAAGGCGCGGCGAACACGACCGATGCCAGGGCGGCTGATGAGAGGACGGACGAAACCTTCATGTTGCACAGCTCTGTCAAATTGAAATGAGATGCAGATCACAAGAAGGTGTTTGTCGCTCTGGTCACGACAAAGGTTGGGTAAGTGCACCGACCAGCAGTTACCGAGACTAATAAAGGCGAGCGTAGTAGCGCACGCAGCAGGGGTCTTGCGGACCACCATGCCGGTAAGTTGGAGAATTTCCACAGTCATTTCGATAGGAAGCTTCAGTGGCTCGATCAAAATATGCTAAATCATTTTGAGTCGGCAACCGATGCAGGTCTGCGGCGCTGTATGCAAGATGCCTGCGATGTTGCGGTGGAGTGGCAAGGCAAGAAGTCTGGCTGTATCCGAACCAACCAACTCAATTTTCAACTATCTCAAAGACCTCACCAAGCTCACCTCACCAAGCTCACCGCATGCTTACCTCACTTTCCGCCTGTGCCGCCCTGCCGTACCCGCACCCTAATTGTCTTCATGCATGTTTGTAACTTGATAACCGTGGCTATGTATCGCTCCATCACCATGGTACTTACCTCTATACGGCATAGCAGCATTCTGCAGAAGAGCAGCCACCGTTTCATCCCGGTGCAGACACCTTTAGATATACCGGGGGGAGAGCGGGGCGCCGGGGTCAACAAATGGACGGCGCATACTCAAGAATCTTTGATGGCCGGCACACCACCCTCAAAGATGTATATGGTCAAGTTGTTCGAGTCGTATTGGAATGACAGAGTCTTCCCTAGCCATTGCATTGCTCGTCGTAGTCCCCATGAGTCACTTCTTAGCCGTTCTGTCTTCCGGGGCTCCAAGTTGCACGGGACCTGAAGTACCTCGGTCATGGAGCCTACTCGGGTAATCTCCTGACCCCGGGCTTGACCTATCGCTTTGAAAATGAACGTTAAGAAGTAGATGTCAAGAGATTCCGCTCAGCCATCCCAAAGCCAGGTTCTTTTACGTATTCCTGCCGCAAGGCTCCGAACCCGAGGGGAAATTGTATGTGTATTGTGTGAGTTCAGTGTGGAGCGTCTGATCAAAAATACAAGTTGCGTCAACATGAACACGATGGAACGCATTGATCGTTCCAGTATCCCGTCGGTTCAATCCTTGCACTGTGCCTAGTTGCATTCGTCACTGCAGCGATCAATTCTCCGGTGAAGGCGAGTTGGTGAGTATTCGTAGCTTGAAAAGCGCAATGTGCAATTACATAACAGGCATCACAGAACAGACGATGCCAGGCCGGACAAAGTTTTCGGTCATACATAATACCCAGTTGGCAAGGCCCAGTTGACACGTTAATGTCGCAAAAGGCAGCTAGCATGCGACGCGGCTGTCCCCGTCGAAAATAAGTCGAGAATAACCTCTCGAGCAGGGCAACTGTGAGATTCAATGAGTGTTGGTACCTACCAATCGCTGCTACTGTGTTATCCTGAGCATGACTTGCCCCTGACCCAAGCCAACGGTTCTTGAGCCGGCAGTACTAGCTGCCGCAATCGGATCTTGGCAAGTAACTGTACAGATGCAGCCTGATCTCCGAATGATGCACCACCACATCGGATCCCATTGCGAGCATGGCAAGTCCTGTTCTAACATATTCTTGTGGTAAGAGATTCATTCGCTGGATTGCAGGTGCATATGAGATAGGCACTTTGATAGACCCGTTGAAGGATGCCACCCCTGCCAACATGTCCGTGGTGTGGTACGGATGCGGATCTGTTTAAAGATGAACCATGTTGGAAACCTTGACCAACTTTGACAAGATGTACTCCGCAGCTCTGATTGATCTACGGTGACCCCTGGAATATGGTGTCAAATTCTTCGCAGGATACTGAGTCAATCACCGAGAGTGGGCAAATATCATTATATTCCCAGGCCTTCAACCTAAAGGAGATAACTCAAATGGTGAAAGGAAAACATGAGCCATGTGCCACAAAGTGACAGCGTGGCCCAGCTGATGCGGGCCATCTTGAGCTGGGGAAGGAAACCAAGACTTTGTTCAATCACCAAGAAGTCTTGTTTGCACTTCCGAATCACTGCTTCCAAGGTTGTCCCTGCAGGCTAGTCCGCCATGGACGACTCGGTCCCCTTTCCACCCGACATCAATAGAGGCAGCGAAATCCTCGTAGTGTGCGGAACTCTGGTCGGCCTTTCGGTGGCCGTTGTCATCTTGAGAATATGGGTTAGGGCGAAAATGGTCCGGCTTGTCGGCCTCGACGACTACTTCATGATCGCAGCGACGGTAAGATCTCTTGTTCGGCTTGTCGGCGAAGGTGCGGACTAGGTTGTAAGAAGGATGAAGCTAAGGGAAACGTCTTTGTCAAGGTCACTATCTTCGCAGAAATGATGGTCATCATTCCCGAAGTCCAGTATGGCGCAGGCCGACACATCCAATACATCGAACCGAAGAGCAACATCGTCACAGGCCTTCACCTCAATTTCGTCACGCAGCCTTTGTGCCTCATTGCGCTGTGTTTGGCCAAAGTTAGTGTAGGCATGTTTCTTCTGCGGATAACGCCATCGGGAAAATTTCGACACGTCATCTGGGGAATAATCATTTTTACGGTCTTTTCGGCACTTGGTAACTTCTGTGGGTTGATCGACGTCTAAATCTCCAGTCTGAATGGAGGGATCATTCCGATCTCGCGCTGATATCACTTAGTGACCGTCTTCTTCCAATGCCAGCCATTAGCGTTCACTTGGGATTTCTCTATTGAAGGCGGAAAGTGCATTCCGCAAGCAGATCTCAAGTTCGCCGCCTTCTTCAACTCGAGTAAGTTACACAACGTCCCTCTTCACGGAGGCTACACGTGTCTCTAGACTAACAGTTGCCAGGTGTATCTGTCTTCACCGATCTTCTTTTCGCTTTATTACCAGTACCAATCATGTGGAAGGTGCAACTGAATTGGAAAGTCAAATCTGCCGTCATCGGAGTGCTTTCTCTCGGGATTTTGTGAGTATTCTGCGCGAGCGTGAAGCTCGACCTCGCTAACAGCCATTCCCAGTGCGACTATAGCAGCAGTTATCAAGATATCTTTCCTGTCGGGTTATGGGAAGCACGGAGACTTCCTATTCAACAGCACTGACATAACAATCTGGTAAGCTCTCGGCAGTCTCAATGGCCTTCAACGACGAGCCCCCGTTTTCTAAAATCTGCGCTTCAAAGGACGACCGTCGAAATATGCACAGCGATAATTGCAGCCTCGATACCATGTCTCAAGCCGCTATTCAAGGCCATACTCTCTGGGTCATCAGCCGAAGAATACAACTCGTCAAAGTACAACAATGATGGGTACATGCGGAACAAGAATGCAAGCAAGTCAAGAAGGGCGCGCACTCCAGAAGGAAACTTCGAGATGTTTGGCCAGTCTCGACATACAGCGGCGATTCGCTCAGGCTTTGGATCCAAGATGGGCTCGGAGGAAAGCATTATTCCGGACCACGGCAGTGGTGGTGAAGGCATCACAAAGACGATGCAGGTGTCTGTCTTCGTAGACGAACGGCAGAAGAGCCCTAAAGATCTTGTATAGCGGGGGCATATGCAACGGAACGAGGAAGTCCTCTTCGCTGATATGAGTTGGTCTCAGTCAATATTTTTCTTGGCAGAACCTACCGAATTGTCCCACTTTGCCAATATTGAAGCGTGTTATTGGCCTAGGATCATATCATCTGTGCGAAAATCACCATGGGGGGATGCAGGAAGATGAGATGGGCTCTCTAACCTACCTAGTGGCCATGCGTACTAGCCTTTCGACACGATGCCTTCTTCGAACGACAATTTCTATCACTGAATGCCATCTCTTGCTGTCAGCTCTAAGAAACCAACGGATACTCAAAGTCGCTGAAGCTGTGATATTCAACCGAGTCTTGACGTCATTGATATAAGCAACTCAGCCATCCTCTCCAGAGAATTCGTCGAGCTGGAATTCATGCTGACTGGAGCAACAGATCCGCTGACTGTGCACCTGGACATGTGCTGGGGGAACTTATTCAGATCCCCAAACGCGCTGAGGACGATTTTTATCAAAGAGTCGTACACGCATAGACTCGCAATGATTAGCGTTCGGCTGATAGCCGACAACGTGAAGTTTCGTCAGAGCGCAGAACAATGCGCTGCCGTACAAGTTTCAATTGCTTGAAAACGCAAGCAAAGCCTGTGCCAAAAGTTGAGACCGCGGTTCCGTAATGAGAAGACATTAAATAGCAGCTTTTTTCTTCACGCTCATTTCCCTTCTCTTTCGATCCTGATCACGCGACAATTTATCCAGTAGCTCAACGGTTCTACTTAGCCTCGTTGCCAAGATGAAGTTCTTTCTATCTCTCGTCGTTCTCGCTGCCGCTGCGACGGCCGCAAGCCCTGCTCTGCTGACGAAGCGCGCCGTGTATCCCCAAGAAGGTCAGGTGTGCTGCCGACACGACCGAGCCGAGAACTGTGTAGGTGACCAATTTTACCCAACTGGACTTTTTAGCGCAATTCGGCTAATCTGGCGATGTGTAGATCTGCGTCGCTCGCGATAAAGGGGTTGGTCTTGTCTCGATAACCCGATACGGGAGCAAACAGCTAACTGCTCCGAATTTATTTAGGAATGCAACAGAGGAATCTGCATCATGTAACTATCAATGATACCATACGACATTAATGTTCAGTTCGATTCGCTTGAATCAGCGTGGCTCAATTCTATCCCATCTTTCCAGTCGTGATGTTGGCTCCCAGATCTTGGCGGAAGTCCGGGGAGTGTTGGTCTTGGGGCGCTCAGACACGATGTTTTAGCCGCAATGCTGACATGCGATGTGCTCGGCTGTTTGACCGTTTTGCGTTTGATCGAAGCGGGATTCTGGAATAATCTATGTGATGTAGACACTGGCAGTAAGGAATCAAGCATCGTTTCAACTGCCTCCCCTGGCGCTCAGTTGCTGGTATTCCGGTGTCCACACCTTGGCGATGTAATTGCTTGGGATTCTCAACTCTATCTTGTCATTGGTTCTGGCCTTTCACACCCTTGGAATCAGGACAACCACATGGGCCTTTGAATCATATGCAAAGATGTTTGCCATTGCTTGTATCATTATGAAGTGAAAATCTAAGCAAGCAAATGCCGTCTAGGGCGCGACGGACGAAGATTGGTCTCCACTCTAGGGCGCAGTCATCGGCCGGCAGGAAAGGCTTTGGCCGATGTGCCGAAGCGCCGGTAGTCGGCAGCCGGTGAGGAAGGCCGCTCCGTTATTGAGTCTGACTCACTGCAGCAATTTCCCGGTGCTGCCAGGCTCTATCACTTGGTCGCTTAGCCGTCACTGAATCGGCTTCAGTGACTTAGCGAGCCTGGAATGAGTCCCTCTGTATCACCCGACATCGGCTTGCTTTTCAATTGAGCTAAACAGCATTTATCGCGACAAATCATCAACTACATGAAAGCTCTAGAATTGGGTTCACAGGTCTTACTTCAATATTTCCTTACGGGCACAGCATTTTGCCGTCGAAAGCCTGTCGGAAATGGCATCAGTTAATCCAGAAGCACCCCTCGAGGGCCAAAGTCGCGTTCAAGTATCTGTTTACTCTCGCTTCAGACCCTTGCAGAAGCGCACCATCACCGCCATCGCTGCATTTTGCGGCTTCCTCGCTCAGGCTTCAACGACAAGCGTTTTGGCGGCTGTCCCAGAGATAGTTGAAACTTACCACACAACAGCGAATGTAATCAGCATCAGTAATGCGGTTTACCTTGCGTTCATGGGCCTTTCGTCATTGATCTGGGGACCTTGGGCCGACATTTTCGGCCGTCGCTCTGTATGTTCCGAGTTCATGATCAGGTACCTTACATTAGAATCTTCTAATTGAGTCATAGGCCTATTTCTACAGCATCACACTATTTCTCGTCTTCACGCTTGGCACGGCTTTGGCGCCTCAACTAGAGCTATTCTTCCTATTCAGGGCCTTCACGGCATTTCAGGGAACTTCCTTCCTCATACTTGGATCCAGCTGCATTTCTGACATTTATCATCCCGTAAGATAATCTATACGAAACGCTGCTCGAGATATGTGACTGGGTTTACTCACTAGGACTGCAGACTGAGCGAGCAACTTCTCTAGGCTGGTTCTTGAGTGGCACCACCGTCGGCCCGGCTTTTGGACCGCTTCTCGGTGGCATAGTCGTAACATTCACTTCATGGCGCGTCATCTTCTGGATCCAAGGTTCACTTGCTGCCACTGCACTTGTTCTCGTTTTCTTCTGCCTCCCTGAGACTCTGCATCAGTCTCGCGAGAGCGAATTAACAGGGCTCAGGCCATTGAAGAAATGCAGAAAGCTTTGGCAATGGGGAAACCCAGTCAGAGTGGTTAAGATCTACGGGAATAGAAATATGCTTCTCATTGTAAGGTCGCCCCATTGTAGCTAAGCCCACAGATACTGCTGCAAAGCCGCTAACATATCAGTGCCTCGCTTCCTCATCTTTGGTTTGGAACATGTACTCTCTCCTCACCCCTATTCGATACGTGCTCAATCCCAGGTTTCATCTTACTACGCCACTGCAATCGGGGTTGCTGTACATTGCACCTGGAGCGGGATACGTTATCGGCTGCCAGATTGGCGGTCGATGGGCTGATTACACCGTCAGCTCGTGGATCCGGAAGCGCGGCATCCGCTTGCCGGAGGACAGACTTCGAAGCAGTCTCGTCTTCCTCGGCCTGATGTTGCCAGGATCCATGGTTCTCTACGGCTGGACGTTGGACAAGAAGTTTGGTGGCATCCCTCTTCCTATTATCTGCATGTTTTTGCAAGGCATCGCACAGTTGGCTGCGTTTCCAAGCTTGAATGCTTACATTCTGGACGTCATGCAACATCAAAATGGGGAAGCTTCAGGTAAGTTATATGCGTGTTTTTGGACCATGCGTGAAACATTGACACTAACAAGTTCGTAGCCAGCCACTACCTCATGCGATATATGTGCGCTGGTCTTGCAACTGCGGTCTGCCTTCCTTTGATAGAAGCCATCGGTGTTGGTTGGGTTTCAACGATGTCAGCTGGGATACAATTCACCTGTGCCGGACTAGTATACCTGACCATTCGACTCGGCGAAGGCTGGCGGCAAACACATCAATTACCCATTCCGCTATAGCTTCCAGATACGTTCTGTATCTAGAGAGTCATCTTCATTGGGCATGTTTTACTGGATTTGTGTTCCTAGAAAGAAAATACTCCGCTAGGCGTGAGGCAGATCTGAACATTAATTTGTATATACCAGCTAGACTTGATATTTTTCTCCCTATATATACACGTGCTTGGCTACCTGCAGGGATTCCTTCATCAAAACTTGATGGTCTGATTGCTACTGGAACATAGATGCTCGCGAGACTCAATCAGTCTCATCACCCGTCGCAAACTCTCCAGCCTTGATCTTGTCGCTGAGAGCCTTGTTCTCCCTGATGTAAGCAGTAAGATCGGTCCGCTTCTCGAGAAGAAGGTCTGCAACAAGGCGACCGAAGACAACCTCTCCAGCAGCATTTAGATGCGTAGAGTCGCCTGAAGCAAGATCGTACTTGTGTCCGTTCTCATTTCCGATGGCGTTGATGTAGTTGGTGCTGGCAGTGTTGAGGTCGAGGTACGTCGCGCCCACGGCTTCCGCGGCGGCGATGGCTCTAAGGCGCTCAGTTTCCAAGTTCTGAATGACCTTACCGCCGCTGAAGGTGCGGCGTGTAAGTGACGTGATCAAAATCTGCGATGAATGTTAATATGTTTATTGGATGCAGTCCTATTATTTTTTCACTCACAGGTGTTCCGCCTGCAGCCGTAACCTCGTTAGCTAGCTTCTCCAAATTCGCTTGGAACTGGTCGGCAGAGATGTTTGCCGCTGCCTTTTGGTCATTGTGACCGAACTGAATCGTGACAATCGGGCTGAACGCATCTTTGTTCGCCTCAACCTCGCCAATGACGGTGTCCCAGATGCCCTGAGCCCGGAACGACACAGTCGTTGCTCCACTCTTGCCGTAGTTCTTTCCATCGGCCGGGGACTCGACAAATGAGAGGAAGCCGTTTCCCCAACCTCCGCCGATGGCAACAGTCGAATCGCCCGTCAGGAGAAAGTAGGGCGGCTTGGCATCGCGGATCTGAGGTGCGCTGAATGGACTGAACGGAACAGCGGAAACTGTCGTGAACGCCGTGGCGACAACAGAAAGAGCTTGACTGACTCTCATTTTGCAGCTTCTGGGGTTTGGACTGGAACGAATGGGAATTTCGCTGGGAAACGCTAAACAACATCAAAAGACACGAGTATGATGGCAATGACTGGCACTGTCTACGCAACTAGGCCAACAAGCTTGATATAAAGCCATGGAAAGTGAGTCTTTAATCTATCTTCCTCTCTTACAAACTGTCAAAGTCGCATCGTCGCATCTCGGCGGAGACTGAGCCGAAAGAAGCGATGACACCAAGCAGGGCGCCAATGCCGCGATGTCCCCACGCCAATCCCACCAATAACTCTCGGTTTTGTATATTGACGTCTCGCGCACCTCCTGGGATAGTCAAGGTTTAACTCATGGCGCGGCACAATTGCTGCGGAGATGAGATCTTGCTTCCGCTGATCGTATTGCGAATATGGACGACCTCGGGCAACGGGAAGCTTGGCATGTAACAGTGCGGGGGAGTCCACGCCTGTCACTCGGGCTGCTCCGTGGCATCATTCGGCCGACTTGCGCGGACCACGTGCAAAGATTTACCTAAGTGCCAGGGGGTATTTTTGATATATCTCGTCGCGACGCCATACACGGCTCGCACATGAAGGTGTGGTTCCTAGAGAGTAGTAGACCCCGATGTTGATGACGATTGATAACTCTTGGCAACCACGCATCTTAAGCCTACAAGGCTTTATTGAGGTTGTTGTTGATGTTCAGCATTGACGTCATGTGCACTAGAATGGGAACAGCGTCCTTCGTCAAATTCTATATCAACTCTACCGAAGCAGTCAACTTGGCGCATTATTCCAGCCTCAGCATGCTTCGTGCTCCTGTCGAGGGCCCCTGGAATCAGGCCTCACCCTTGCTTGCTATTATTCAAAGAGGTGAAATGCTAATTCGCCCAAACTATTATCGGACAAGAATTGGCTATCAGGATTGGATGTTCGCATGTGCACACACGACGTCTAGCCTCATAGGGGTTGTTGAGATGTCTCACCTGCACGATGCCCGTTCAGGCAAGCAATGACGTGGTGCAAGATTTCCTCGAGATTAAAACTTGAAATGTTGAGTTGCAATAGACTCTGTAGAAGAACGCATCTTAATAAACCTCAAAATCGGACCACTGCACTTTCTGATGCAGTGTTGGAAAACAGGCAAACGATTATCTGCAGACCCATTCCCGTCTTACTTGCCCGAGTGAGATCATCTTCAAAGCTTCACTTGAATCCACGTTAGAATCCTCAGAGCTTCGGTAATGGCATCCTTTCACTTATTCTCAGAGCTCCCATTCGAACTACGCATTCACATATGGCACCTTGCGAAAGAGCCGCGGACTTTGGTCGTCCGCACCTGTGATGAACCCGCGAAATATCGCCGTCAACCGCTCGAGTCCACCTTGATTTATTGCCGTTCACCAAATACTGTTCCCGCAATTCTGCAGACTTGTCGA